CTACTATATAGTCACACCAGTTGAATGTTCAAAACACTTTATTATTAAAATCTATCCTATATAGTCACAATCTATCTATAGTCACTATCACACCTATCCTCAAAAATCTTATATTAAAAAGAACCGTTTATAATCACAGTTATATAAAGAATATATTAAATAACTTGGCATCTAATAATCGTACAAAGATGTATCATAACTTGTTAGAATTGTCTCACTGAGACGAATCGAATAGTGGTAGTTTTATCCTTTTCCTTTGCTAGTGTTTACGGCCAGACCACCCATTGCCTCTTATGAGACTAATATCGGGTCTGTGTCCTATCATCTTCACTGGGCAACCATTATACCGAGTACTTAATTCCTCAGGTAACAGCACCACTTTAGAAGACATTCCCCATCGGGCCATTTTAGGCTGATCTGAAGCTAGGTACACGCCGCCTACTCATCCTATATCCATTGCATGATACTGATACTCAATTTATTTTACGACCTTTAGAGAGCATCTACTTTCATGGAGGACTTTTGACAGGTAACATCAACCATCTAGTACCCTTCCATACACCATTTTAGGTACTAAGTCTCACTCAAAGGCCACTACAGCCCGCGATTACCTAGCACCGATAGTACAGTTGTTTACCCTAAGTGGTATACTTTGTAGTGACCATTCAGACAGGGAGTAGCAGGCTTCTGTCCAGGATCACCCCTTATAGTGGGTATCAACCACCAGGGATCACCAACCAGGACCCAAGAAGTGGAGAATCGAACTCCATAACCATGCTACCTATTCTGTGCATGAACACCTTGGTTGGCCTAAGACCTAACAGAAGGTCTAACTACCACAAAGACATTGCACCCTCAGCTTTACCATCTAGGATGACCATCTAGCCATTACTGACCCCAAGCGGTATCGTAGAGTGACCACCTGGACAGGAAGTCCCTCCTAAGGTATAGTAGTGACCTCAAGGACAGGACTGCGCACATGCCAATGGCCTCATAGGGAACGTTAGAAGGACACCATGACCCTTAGTTGAAATGTGCGGCCTAACCGTACACACTAATTCACCATGATGCAGTCCAACTACACTAATCCCTGTACCTTCACGCTATTGGTTGTAGCGTCCGCAGTAAAATTCTTTTTATTTCCGTGGTCATGGGAATCGAACCTGCGACCTCACCATACTCAGGCTTAATGAGGGTCTCAGTGACTAACCACCGAGATAGGGTGACCAACCCTGTTTTATCCTTTTCCTTTCACTGGCTGATGAGTTATTCAACAAAATATTAAACATCGGCATTATAATATTTCTTGATTTACGTTTACTGCGCTATTTAACATTTTGCTAGATTTCTCGGTACCTAGTGATTATAAAAAGACGATTTATAGCTCGTTGGAATCGCCTCATCGAGGCGAATCGAATGGTGGTAAGCTCATCTCTCTGTGATCAATATTGACGGAGTTATTACTTAAAAACCATTTAATATTTTTTAATTTCGGAAATTGATCTAGTGATTGGATTTCGATGTATCTTATACCATTAGATTCGTCTCATCAAGACGAATCGAATGGTAGTAAGATCGTCTTTCTAGGATCAATATTGGCAGAGTTATTACACAAAAACCATTAATATTTTTTTAATTTCGGAAATTAATCTAGTGATTGGATTTCGACGTATTTTATACCATTAGAACCGTCTCATCAAGACGAATCGAATGGCGGTAAGATCATCTCTCTACGATTAATATTGGCGAAGTTACGATACAATAAAGTTTTAAGTATAATTCTGGCTAAAATTATGTTAATTTTTGGCCGGAATTATGATATACAAATATAAGAAATTTTTTATATAGTCACATCTCTTTATAATCACCAAATATGGACTGTCCCAAATGTGTGACTTTAAAGAGAGTTGACTGTATACTTATAATTTTGTTTATCCAGAAATTTTTCAATAAAAATTTTTTATTATAACTTAATAATATATTTAAACATTAACTGTTAACGTAATTAACAGATGAATCCTAGTATTTATATAAATTACCTAAAAATCAACTGATCTACATATACAAACTTAATTTATGGGTTTAAAAAAATAATTTTATATAAATTTATACAAACCTATATGTGAGTTATATTATTATTACCTAGAGTTTTATTTGCATTCATTTTTTAATTTATAAATTATTAAATTTTTCTTTAAAATTAACATTTATAGTTAAAAGTAAAAATGTACTAAAGTTCTAAATAATGTCAAAATATAGCCCCAATATTTAAGTTTATTTTGCATTTTAAATAATAAAAATTGGTTTTATTTTAAGCAAACTATATACATTTTTATAATTAAACCATTTATTAGCATTTTTTACTATATATCAAAATTATAATAATTTAAAAAATGGAATTCTCATTATTTTATTATAAATGTTTATTTACTGCAATTTTTTGATATTTAATTTTTGGCATTATTTTTAATAATATTTGAGTATTTTAAATTAAAATTAATTTACTAATATTTTTTTTTTTTTTTTATTAACTTTTATTAAATGATAAGTCAAACAAAAAACAGTATATAAAAGTATATATTGAAATCTACCAAATAATAATAAACTACTCATCATATTATTTTAAGATTACAGTCAGGCAATTAATGTTTTATAAATGTAATTTAATTTTCTATTATATTTTTTAATTTAAAATAAATAATTATTGCTGATTTTTTTAAAAAATAATAAAGCATTTATAATTTTAAAAGATATTAAAATGTAATAGTTTATATAATATAAATTGAATTTATTTTAAACATATAATATGTATTTTTATTATGTAAATAGGTTTCCAGTTTTTTATTATATTAAAATTTATTATAAAATAAATTTATATTATAAATACATATAATATATATCAATTATATATCTTTTAATAAATTTAAAAATTAATTTTTTAATAGTTTGAATTTTTTAAAATTTTTTATTATCTAATATATTTTAAAAAAAACATTTGCATTTTAATAGATTATAAAATTCAGAATATTAATAAGATATTAAAATCAAAAAACTACATAAAAAAATTTTATTTACTTTTATAGCAATTCTAATATCTAATAAAGATTGATATTTTTAAAGTTGTAAGATTTGGGATTTCAATAAGGTATATAATTTGTCTATGTTAGCAAAAGGTTTTATTACTTTTATATATATAGATTTAGTTAACTTATTTACAAGTTATAAAATATTAGATAAAGACAGGATAAGGTTATTAGATGGTTTGGTTAGCAAATTGATTTTTGACTTCAAAATTTTAATATGGAAGTAAAGGAATGTTAAATTAGCTGATTTAGAACATCAGAAAGGGATTAATGCAAAGATGAAAAAGTTGGATAACAAATCTAAATTAATGGCCAATAAATTAGACAAAATAGTAAGTTCACGTTGGGAGCTATGGAATAGCTTAGTGTTTGATAAAGGAGCAAATTTTTAAGTCTTTTATAACGAGTCACCTTTGATCTTAAGATAACAGGTCAGTCTTTTCCTTTAGGAAGGGCAGTATGTTGATAATGTTTAAATTTATTTAGAATACTTTATTTTATTTTACTTTTGTAAATATATTGTATTACTTTAACATTATTATCAATAAATATGATCACGCCTTTACAAAAAAAAAAAAAAAAAAAAAATTATTGTGTTATTTAATTTTACATAAATATGTCTTACAGTATTCATGTAAATTTTATATTANAAAAAAAAAAAAAAAAAAAATATCTAATAAAGATTCCAGAAATTTTATAAATAGATTGTAATTAAAATGGATAAAGTATATTTTGCTAAAAATAGCCAAATTACATATTTAAAAGAAAGATGATACCAATTTTATTATAAAAGCAAATTTACCTGCAAAAGTTTATAAATAAAGAGATAATAAAAGATATTTGATATATTTGATTTTCTTTACTATAATGAATTTTAATTTTCAATTTATAGAAAGCTGTATATATTTATTAAATAAAATTTTTATTAAATAATACTATTAAAAATTGACTTTAAATTTTATATTATTGATTAAAAATTTTATAAATTATATTTATATATAATTAATAATTAAGTTGTAAAGTGAAACTATTTAACATATAGATTTAATTAAAACTAGTATTCATAATCATAATTATAAAGTAATAGCCTGTAATTAGTACTTGTAAGACAATTTTTAAAGACTGTATCTTTGGAATAGTTAAACTATAAAAAGTATTAGCATATATTATATTTAATTTACTTTTATTTGCCATTAATTATTTTCTTTACTTTATATTTTAAAAAAACTAAGGAAGTAAGATAAATTATTACAGAAAGAAAATAAAACAGAATTATTATTTAAAGGTTAAAAGAATATAATGATGAGCTTTTTTTAACTTTTATATACAAAATAGGATGAATGTATAATATTCTTAAAAAAGAATCAGTTATTAATGGATGGTAATAGATTTTTCATTAATTTTTGCTCAGAGTTCTGCTAATAAATAACTTATATAATTCTCATAAACTTTCTCCTTGAGAATTACTCTCTCTCTGAACTCTACTAATATAAGCTCTAGATACAATGTTCCATGCTTCCATATAACGATCCATACATTTAGCAACACAAGTCTAAAAAAGCATATATAAATAACAAATAATAGAAGACATAAGTCAATGACTACTACTTATAATGCATTACTTACCTGTTCACTGCTTTCTAACTTATTTCCTGGCTTCGTAATACATTTAGAGAAACATTTTTCATTGATTTTCTATAAATTAATTATTAGTTTATCAAATTGACAATATTTTAGTTAACAATTAAGTTTGATAATCAGATAAACGCGAAAATTTTAACGTTAAAGCAATTTAATGTCTGTATAGCATCAAAATTCGCGTACGTTAATAAGTTCTTGTGCGTTAGCAAGCGCCAATTCGTTTCTGACTTGGTCCATAACGGCTTGTTTCCTGTTTTCCCTGTTTAATTAAAATAAATAATAATTTTAAAGCTTATAAGATTTGTCAATTTAGATTTTATTACATACATGTTAGAGGATAAGCCATAATTATTACTAGAGTAATTCATTGTTATTTAAGAAAAATAAAATTTAATAAAAGATCGAATCGAAAATTGATAAAAAAAATTTCAGATTATGAAGCAATTCTAGATGATCTGATTGGTTAGTGTCATCTATAACACAAATCGTACATTTTGAGCAACTTTAAAGTGATAAAACCGATCTAATTCTTTAAATTTGTATTCTATAAAATGTCTTCTTCAACTTCAGCAAATACTTCAACACCCCAACCTCAGCCTGAAAAAAAGCCTACCGTGTTATTATGTATTGGCATGGCTGGCTCAGGCAAAACCACTTTTATGCAGGTATTCTTATGGAGAGCAATATTTCTCTAATTTATTAATTAGAAAATTTGATTAATTTCCTTTCAAAAATTATTTTTATCTGTAGCGACTAAATGCACATCTTCATAGTATAAAAAGGCCTCCATATGTTATAAATCTTGACCCTGCGGTCACTCAACTTCCTTTTACAGCAAATATTGATATTCGTGATACGATTAATTATAAAGAAGTAATGAAACAGTAAACTATCCCGTCAGATTTATTATATTGGTTCAATTTAATCCGGGTTAACTTCATAAATAATCTTAATATTTTTAACTTGAAGGTATAATTTAGGACCAAATGGCGGTATTCTTACTAGTTTAAACTTATTTACGACAAAATTTGATCAAGTGCTTGATTTCGTATCAAAACGTGCACCAACATTAGAGTAAAGATCTTGTTTGTTATCGATTTTCTTTTTATTCGATTATATTTAAGAAAAATTTTGTTATTTATAGTTATATTATCATGGATACTCCTGGCCAAATTGAAATTTTTACATGGTCAGCATCTGGCGCAATCATTACAGATGCCCTAGCGGCAACATATCCTTGTGCAGTTGCGTATATTATAGATACACCAAGAACTACAAGTCCGTCGACATTTATGAGTAATATGTTGTATGCATGCAGGTAAATTACATTTTTGAAATTGCTTACAAATACTCTTGCATTTTTTTTTTTGTTAAATTTTGTTCCGATATTGATAGGAAGAATACTAAATTGATATTGATTTAGTATTTTGTATAAAACAAAATTACCTTTCATAATGGTTTTTAATAAGACTGATGTTGTTTCTCACGAATTCGCTGTTGAATGGATGACGGATTTTGAGTCTTTTCAACAAGCTCTACAAAAGGATACAAGTTATATGAGTAGTCTTATGAATTCTATGTGTTTAGTGTTGGAAGAATTCTATCAACATTTAAGGGTAATTTTTTAATTATAATTAAAAATATTTATTAAGATAATTAAAATAATTCAGATGGTTATTATTTTTTATTACGTAAAAGGTGGTTGGAGTTTCTGCTGTTACTGGTGCTGGAATGGACGAATTTTTTGGAGCCGTTAATGAAGCTGTTAAGGAATACGAAACGTAAGTCATGATTTTATTATTAGTTTAGAATTAAAGATTTTATTAACACGAATTTCTTCATTAGCGTATATAAACCCGAACTAGAAAAATTAATTCGGGAGAAGGTATACTATATATCTCATGTTTCTTAAAACAAAGTTGAATTTAATTATATGGATGGATATATTCTCTATTTATTATATTTGTAAGGCTGAACGACAAGAAGCTGCAAAACAAGCGCAGATTACAAAACTAATGAGAGATATGGACATAGCGGATACTTCTAAAACAGGTACTAATTTAAATGCTATATTTTTTTCATTATTTCATTTTTACGTATGTATCTATCTAATTTGCTGAAGATCAAATGGTGGAAGAAGAAGAAATGGAAGATGAGGAGGAGGAGGAGGAGGATGATGATGATGGAGGACATGCTTATAACGAAGGTAATCAATAGCTCAATAAAATATGAAAGCTATAATGATTTTGTCAAAACAATTTATAAGCAGAATTGTAACAAAAAAAAATTATGCATCCGATTGGCTTGTGTTATTTTTTTTTTTTTTTTGTTGTAGATGCTGATTATGAAACCATGAGAAGACATCAAGAACAACTTGATGATCAAAGTTTTAGTCGATGGTTAAAGCAAGCACGTCAAGGTGGAGAAGATATTGAATAGAATTATATAATATATGTTATATACAACATTACTTATCATGTATCTGTATCCCGCGCGGTGATTCGACCTTCCTTGTTCCTTAATTGCTAATTATTATTTAAAGTTGACTAAATAAAAAACTCAATTTGAAAAGAATGTTTTTTTTTTAACTACAAATGTGATATATCTATGAGTAAATATTTGATGATCTTTGTGCATAATTTCTATCAAACAGAATAGAAATGCTCCATGAAAGGCTGAGATTATAGAATAAATTTCTAAATAGAAAAATTCACATGATTTTTTATTGGATGATAAAAATTGATCTGCAATACTATATAAATTTTCTCTGGTCGATCTGTTTTTAAGTGAAAGCGTCGAATATGGCACGACAATATTTTATTGGAATGGTTATAAGTACGGCAATGCAAAAAACTGTAAAAGTAAAAGTAGCAAGACGAATTGCACACCCCAAAGTACAAAAGGTGGGTATCTTTTGAATTAATATCATTATTTCTTTAAATGTGTAGATAGTAATAATAGTGTTCTAACATAATTTGATAGATAATAAAAACGCACAAGAATTTTTTAGCACATGATGAAAAAGAAAGTTGTTCAATAGGAGATGTAGTAAGAATTGAAGCTTGTAGACCATTAAGTAAAATGAAAAGTTTTACTGTTGCTGAAATTATAAGGTTTAGTTATTTACGATTGTTTAATAGGAAATTTTTAAATTATTTCATTAAATGGTTTTTTAACATGTATAGACCCGCTAAGACTTGGGTTGATCCCGAAACTGGAGAAGAAAAACGATAAAAATCAAAGAATCATATTGAAAACTATTATTTATTTATTTCTTTTTTAACATAATTTATTATCATATTCATTATATATGAGATATTAAAGAATAAAAATGTATATTTCATATGATTATTGACTAATGCATCGTAATCTAAATACCAAAATAATCATTTTCTTTCATTTTTCGTTAAATGCCATTTAATTGATTCTAATTGAGAACATTTTTGAAACAATTGATTTCTATCTTCTTCCAGTAAAGGTTCAGGGGGATGAGAAAATCTAATTGAAAAATGACGAAGATTCTTCAGCTTCGGAATTATTTCCAATACATCCTATAAAAAGGAAAAAAAAATTATTTTTTTATATATTTCTTTCCCTAGATATATAATGAATAGAATACTTACAGATTTTGAGAGTTTTTGTTTTTCAATGCCAGATAATTCTAATTTAGATAATTGATTTATCACATCACAAATAATTCCAAGTATAGTTTTATTTAATGGAAAATCTATCAATGTTAATTCCTTTAATATATGTTGTTCCTTATTATTAGACATTTTATATTCAACATATTCATCATCATCATTGCTCCTGAAATAATTAATAATTCTACCTAAATCGCCATCATATAAACAAACGGTTATTGATTGTCCATCGGCTTGGACTTCAGATTCTAAACTTCTTTCCGTATTTTGTATGATCAACGTTTTGGCTTTGAAATGTTTAAAAGTTTCTATTACAAATTCAGTTGTAATCTCTGATACATTAGTTATAGTGACGTTCGTTAGTTTAGGACATGATTTATAAATACTCAATAGCAGTAATTCTGAAATAGCAATACATTGATGAATTCTTAAAAATGTTAAATTAGGACAGTTTGATAAACAAGGTAACATTATCTCGTCTTCGTAATATTTTTCCTGAATATCTAATTTAATTAATCTTTTACAATTTTTTGTAATTTCAAGTAAAACTTTCCCATCACATAAAATATCTCTTTTTAAAATCAATTCTTCCAACAATAAACAATTTTCTGCTATTGCTCCTAATGCACTAGTCTCGTTTATTTCAATTTCGTTAAATTTGAACAATCTTAATTCTGGTAACCTTTTAGCTATATTATTCATTTGTTCACTATTTAATACACGATATTCCCTATGACCCCCTATTATTAATTGTTCAATTCTAGGACAGCAATCTAACGTATCTAATAATATTTCTTGATTTATTTTTAATTTTTCCAAATCCAATATTTTAACATATGTTCCATAATTATGAATAGATCTTTTATCGACATATTTTATTGGGTCTTCGAAATATAAATGTGATTGTTGTAAGATCTTTAAAAATTTCGCAAATGATCCTGTTTTTGTATCATTTTTTAATCCTTGAAATCTATACCATAATCTTTCGGTTGCTAGTTGATTCCACCATCTACTTACTAAACAACATGGAACAATGTACTTTTCTAAGGGCACACATGAGAATATATTTGCCAATATTAATGGAATCGAAAATGCTAGATGAGATATTGGTATCAGATTTGTCTCTTTGATTAAGTCGTCGTTGTCCATATTAATTAAATATAAAAGTGAAAAGAAATTTTGAGGAAAGAAAAAAAAGTCGATTATCTTAAACTCCGAATAGCCGACCAATCATATTTATTTGTGTATATATATGTATAATAAAACAACAAATAACAAATTAGGCATGTGACTAATTTATTTCAGAAAATGGGCATTTTATTATAAAATCATAAACTTGAATTTTGAAAAATTTTAAGTAAAATTTTTTTTAAAAAATAATTATAATAATAAATTTGAAACAACATAATTGGTTTACTTAAGCTTCTTCTTTGGACGCAATTGATTAGTATGTCCACACTATATAAAAAAAGAAAAAAATTTTTCAATAAATTTAATAAATTTCAAATATTGTGATTAATTAATTATCTTAATAAATACCTTTTTCTTACGACAGTTGGTAGCACGAGGGGGTAGTCTCGCATAGCATTTACGACAAATCATTTTATCACAATTATATTTTGAAGCCAGCGCTTTTAATGAAGGTTCAATAATCCCACCACGTAAACGTAATACTAAATGGAGTGTTGACTCTTTAGTTATATTATAATCCGATAATGTACGTGCGTCTTCGAGCTATTTTTATTTAAATAATAAATTATAATTAAAAAATGGATTGAAAAAAAAAGTTTTTTATCTCATTAATAATAAGTACCTGTTTACCGGCAAAAATCAAACGCTGTTGATCTGGAGGGATACCTTCTTTATCTTGAATCTTTTGCTTAACATTAGCAATCGTATCTGAACTATACCATTCAACAATTAATATATTAAAGTAATTAATAAATAAATAAAGTTTATAAAATAACAATAAATTATTTTTTTTAAAAAAAAAAATTAATTTAGTACCTATCAACCTCAAGGGTGACGGTTTTTCCGGTTAGAGTTTTAACAAAGATTTGCATGTTTATCTATATATTAAAAGAAATTAATATGAACCTCCTTGACCTCTTTCGAAAACCTTTGAAATTCTTTAACAATAAATTTCTTACCTTGCTAGTTGAGAAGAAAACGACAGATAAATCAGTGTAACTTTTGTCACTTTTTTTAAAGATTGTCCCATGTGATGATCATGTGATATCTCATCAAACGTTTATGATTTATTAATTTATTATCTTATTTAGTTTAATTTTATTATTTTTATTAATTTTAGTTAATTTTATGATTTTACGCGTAAAATCTATCTATGATCGCTCTATTCGTTATATACATTCTTTATATGAATAAGTAAGTAATGATATGTTACATTAATTCAGTTGTTAATTTTGTTTGCATTTTATAACGCAAAGAAGAAAAAAAATAAAAAGAAAAAAAAATAAAGAAATTTACAGCAACAGCGGCAGCTATTATGCATGATTACGACGATGATGACGATTATTATTGTGATGACGATGATGATGATGAAGAGTTCTTTTTTTTCCAAATTTTTTCGATAACCAACTTAATTTGTTTTCATTTTTCATTCTTTCTAATTCATTAATGGCTTCGTCAACACCAATAGTACCTGACCTTTGCTGTATCTCTTTTATAAGTTTTTTGCGCAAAAGCAAAGTTTCCTTATTCTCGGTTGCCCATTTTGTTCCATAAGTCTCTAATAATGCGATTACCGATGGATTTCCACCTAAACCCACATTCCATTCGTTCCATACATCATAAACGGTATTCAAAGTGTCTAATTCAGGTAAACGATAGTATTTTGGCCTAGCTAAGGCACTTGATGATAAAATTGGAGAATTGCTCATTGGAGAATGACTGAGTCGATTCATCAAACAACTTGTATCAGAAGCAACAGTATTAGAATCAACGAAGGAAGAATCCAATATTGGACTTGAGCTTGTACCATTTGAATTAATGGTTGCGGTGCTTGGTGTTCTCGCCATACTGGTAGAATGAAGAATAGGCCTCCCTAAATTAGGTACACTATTTATCAGTGAATCTATTCCATGTTGTTGTTGAACACCATTATTAACAGACACTGGAATTCCTGTATTAAGTGTATTTATTGCATTAGAAACATTAGAAACATTAGAAGCATTAACCCCATTAACAGCATTGTCAGTGTTATCGGCATTATTTGTCGCGCTATCATTATTTTCAGCATGAGTTGGAGTTATCCGTGGTGGGAATCGAACCATCTGCGATGGCAATTCCCTCGTCTCCACTGAAACATTCGCAGGATCAGAAGATATTGTATCACTGGTAACTGGAGAGATATCAGTTGTGACTGTTGTTGTTGTAGTTGAATTATTATTTGCATCTGTGTGCGTAATTGTTGTCATTTTAATGGTTATAATTGTACTTGTGGTGGTTGTAGACGATCCTGCTTCATAACTAGCCGATGAGTCATTATTACTTGGAGGTTGATCTTGTTGTATAGCTGGCAAGCGTACTTCTGGTAGTGGAAGTTGTTCTTGATGTGTATTATTATTCTTACTGGTATTACTGGTAGGAATAGAATCTAAATCTATAATTCCTCTTCGAGTTCCTGGAGGTCTTCCTCGGGGTCTAGTTGCTGGAAGTTTATTGTGCCGTAGTTCACTATACGTTTTATTACGAGTTATCTTTCCCATGCTCATTTCTTTGAACCTAAATATAATAAATATATAAAATTCTTTATTTTACCAACAACACGCGTAAATTAATAAAAAATACTTTGGAAACTTTGTTGAGGTATAGATTTTAACTATTAATCTACAACAAAAGAGGATGATGAGGCATAAACTATAACTACTTGGTATCAACTAGAAAATAATCTTTCAGATATCAACATGTGGATGATAAACAAATAAGTTTCTATAGCAGTTACACCGTGTAACTCTTTACAAGTGGCTTATAGTCACGTGTAAAAGTTAAAACAAATTTATGATTATCTATTATCTAACAATTTATTATCTCAACACGGAAATGGATAAACTTGAACAACAACCATGGTCTCCAGAAAAAGAGAAGGTATCAAATTATAATACATAATTTGCTTTTTTCTCATGATTATTTTACATGACGAGTTTCTTTAAAAGGTTCTTCTAGAGCCTTACAATTATTTATTGACCTACCCTGGTAAAGAAATAAGAAGCAAATTGATCGATGCTTTTGATCATTGGCTTAAAGTACCCAAAGAAAAATTGACTATTGTAACTAAAGTTGTTGAAATGTTACATACTGCCAGTTTACTGTAAGTGTCTATTATTTATTGAATTAATTATTAATTTTAATCAAATTTTTTCAATTAAAGAATTGATGATGTAGAGGATGATTCGAAGTTACGTCGAGGTGTACCAGGTAAATATCTCCTTTTTTATTTATGAATTCGTTGTGTATGCGCATCAATTCTAATAGAATGTTGATTTTATAGTTGCCCACAGTATTTATGGCGTACCCTCTACGATCAATTGCGCGAATTATGTATATTTTCTTGGGTTAAATGAACTTACCAAGCTCAATGACATAAACATGTTTAATATTTATACAGGTGATTTAAATTAATATCTATAATATGATTTTGTATATTTTGTCTTTTCAAACACTAAATGTATAGAATTTTATTTATTTATTTATTTAGAGGAATTATTAAATCTTCATCGTGGTCAAGGAATGGAACTCTATTGGAGAGATACCCTGACATGCCCTTCTGAAGATGAATTCATTGAAATGGTTTCAAATAGTAAGAAAAGAAAAATATTTATGTATTTTTTTTATGAATATTAAATACTAATTTTTTGCTACAATAAATAAAATAGAAACTGGTGGTTTATTACGTTTGGGTGTTAAATTAATGCAAGCAGCTAGTGAATCTAGAGTGTGAGTTTTAGTTAAGGTTAAACCACATTTTTTTTTCATGTGCTGATGATAGATGCTATTTGTATTGTTCGCCATATATTTTATGTAGTGATTATGTTCCATTAGTTAACCTTATTGGCATCCATTTTCAAATACGTGATGATTACATGAATTTGCAATCAGATAAGGTAATCAGACTATTTTATTTTATTCGTCTTAAGTCCATATTAAATTATTATTATTAAAAAATTATTATTATTATATACATATAGTATGCAGATAATAAAGGTTTTTGTGAGGATTTAACGGAAGGGAAATTTTCTTTTCCAATTATACATTCTATTCATTCTGATCCTGATAACAGACAATTAATAAGTATCCTTTATAGAAATTTTATTAATTTAAATATATAATATATTATAACAATTTCTTAACGAAGGTTTAATTTTGCAGATATTTTGAAACAACATACAACTTCCATTGAATTGAAACAATTTGCAATAAAACTTATGAAAGAATCTGGTTCTTTTGATTATACCAAACATTATTTGTCTCAAACTGAAAAAAAAGCTAGGGACGAAGTAAAAAGATTAGGTGGAAATCCTATGTTAGAACAGCTTATGGACTTTTTGAGTGTCGAAGATTAGTTTATTACATTAAAATATGCATCAATTTAAAATTATTAAATTAATATGTGTATTATGTGTATCAAAAAATATTGTAAATAAAAACTATTTGTGACATCAGATAGTATATTTAGTTTGGTTTTGGTAGGGTTTAGACTTATTTGTTAGGTTTTTTCTTGCTTAGTTAGAGGTCTCTTGGTTTTATTTACTGCAAATCAACTTCACTCTGTTCGTACTTTTCATAGGCATTGATAAAAATGTAATCTGACAACATTTCATATTTTACTAGGATTTATGGTGAAGAAAGTTCTATTCTAAACTTTTTTTTTTATTTATTTATTTATACGAGAAAACAAATCAACAATAAATACGATTCCACAATTAAATAGCAGTTTCATAGTTATAAAGTAACTAGCAAATGTTCATTATGGTTCAAGACCTGCTTGTTCAAGTAAAGCTGTACTAAGACTCATGATTAAAACACCTATGAAAAAGAATATGCTCACAACAGTTCCATCTGATTTATCATTTTTAATAGCTTGCGGTAACATGCCCTATGAAAAGTTTAAGAAAATTTTATTATAAATAATTATTATTTTAAATATGAGTTATTATATATTATTTACCTGTATACAAATGACACTCATTAATCCACCGACTGCAGCAAATAACATTCCATAAATAAAATTATGATCCCAACATGCAAGTTCGGACTCTTTTAAGAATAAATATCCTATTAAAGCACCTAATGGTTGACTTAAACCTCCTAACATACTTGCATACAGGAAACTTTTAATTCGCGAACGTGTTGCTATATATAATGGAAGTGCAATAGTAAAACCTTCTGAGATATTATGCATAGCGATAGCAACAAATAAGGCCAAGCCAATTGTTGGTGATACTTGCGATGTGACAAATGTGATAAGTCCCTCTTAACAAATTGCAAAAATTTTTATTAAACTTTATGTAAGGTCAACGCTTGTGTAACAATAGTAAGATCAAACCATACCTGGAAATTTATGAATGGATATTGCCAAAGCGGTTTGAATTCCAATTCGCATTAGTTGATTACTTTGATCATTTGGAGGATGTGAATGATGAACATCATGAGACGAATCCGGACAAAATAAGGATTCAACTACAGGTTCTTCTGTATCACTTTCCACAATACAAACTGAACAACCATCCTCAATACAATATGGTATTCCGTTCATATGATTCACATTATTTTTTAATAGAGGTGACCTTTCATTATGTGGACAATCATTCATCGTATTATGATCAATATTATGTAGGTGATGATGATGATGTGAGGATTCTTTAAATAAGAAATAATGAATAAGTCTGTTTATAACAGCAGATCCAATAACACCTAAAAAGTAGAATGTCATTAAATATATTCCTTCGTAATTTTTTGATTTTGGAGCACGGCTAAAAGATTCTTTGGCTTCAGTTAGCATGGTAAAAAAACTTGAATATAACTAAAATATAATTATAATTCATATTAATATTATATAAGAAAAAACAAACAGACCATATTATAACATAATTATTTTTTAAATACCATTACTCCAGCACCAAGTGATAATGAAGCGACCAAAAATTTTGGATTATTAACAATTTGAAAATATTTCGTACAAAAAAATTTTTGAAAAAAAAGATCCGAAAAAACCACGGAAGCTAAAATACAATAGTTGAAAAAGTTACAATATTAGTTAAAAGGAAATTTTTTCTTTAAAAATAATGTATTGAACTAATTTTTACCTCCTAAACAACAAGCCAGTCCTGAAGCAAATGCCAGAACCCATCCTTGTAAATTATTGTCTAAAGGCGTTGTACTGCAGTCATTCATTTTCATGATTTTATGGTTCAATATAAAACGAAATATAAAAAGTTTTTTTTTTATTTAAAAGCTTTTTTTTTATATAAAAAGTTTTTTTTTTAAAAAAAGTGTTTTTTACAAGTTGGTTAAAATAATTTATAATGAATTTTAATAAGTTAAACGTTGGGTCTAAAATGAAATATTTTTTCCGGTTATGAGGAAAAAAACTATGAAGGTACACATAATATAAATAAATAAAAGGCAAATCGGGGAAATAATGATTGATAAGTATGAGCATATTTCGAGAAATAATATGACAAGTTGTTCAATCAACGTAATACAATGAAGTTGAAATAGTTAATTCCTCTGATCTATGATATAAAAGAGTACCTCAAAGGGTAAAAGATACGTACCTCACAAGTTATAACTAACTCATTTCAGTAATAATTTGTTTGTGCAATCATGTGTGGCACCGTAAATGAAGTACCTTAATGGTCACGATTCAAAAAGAAGGCACAACATGTTAAACACAATTAAATTTGTTGGAAAACATATCTTTCGAATCAAGTTTTAACCGTAATTTTACTATATATGTGCAGTATCTTATCAATTATCCAAAAGCGATTATCATTTATCAGTCAACACCAATTAATAAGTACCTTATCGGTTAAAAATTCTTATTATTGTTAAATTACATATTTTCACGTTCATTTTACAATGATAAAAAGTTATCTATTTTATAAATATGCTAAATATGCTTAGTTTTTTTTTTTAATGAATAAATAAATAATTAAAAAATTCAGTTTATTTTCTTTTCATTGCTTAACACAAGTCCAAAAAGAGCATTCATAAACATATTTTAACATCCCATTTGGATTTGAAGTATAAGTAGTATTTATGATCTTTTCATCCTTTAAATTAAAAGAAGAATAGTAAAATTAAATGTTTACAACATAATATAATCAATTGCTAGCATATAAAATACCTGAAATAGAAATCCAGTTTCTTTTATGGCGCATTTAACTTGATCTAAACTTAATTCGATTGACATTTCGCCAGGAGAATTTTCATAATGATATAATAACGGACCAATATTAATCCATAGCCCTCCGGGTTTTAGGATTCGGTGAAATATTTCAATATATTCTAAAATATTCTTAGCTGTATCAATGAAAAAGCAAGTGACAATGCAATCCCATTTTTCTATATGTTGTTCCTCTCCATAAACTTCAACAAAATCACCCGCTACCATTGAAAAATTGGAATCTGGCGGAATGCTGCTAGGTAATATATCTGGTATAAAGATAGGTTTTAATTGATCATCTGAGGAAACTATATTGGAGAAAGAATGAATGAACGGATAAATTTCATGCTGGTGAACTCTCTCAATTCTATAATAAAATTACTTTTTATTATTAATCTATTATAATCCTTTAATTTATAAAAAAAATTCTGAATTTCTCATTTAAACAATTATACCTGTTTAATATAAAATGAGATGCTAATAGCTGAGATAATTTATTGGTTAAACCTATTAGCATTATCTAAGAAAGAAGTGTCATTTTACAATCAATTTAACAGATTTAATCATACCATGTAAAATGAAAATTCGTTTCCTAATAATTAAAATGGAATAATGAGACTAATGAGACTATGCGTTATGTGATTTTTTTAAATTTATATTTTTACCTTGACAGCTAAATCCTTGCTGTACGATATCAAATGCTAAACGCCCTAATCCAGCTCCGGGAACTAAGACACGGATAGGTGCTCTTTCCTCTTTTGAAACATCTTTAAAAAACTCATTTAACGCGTCAAGTAAAGGTTTATATGTTGCATCTCTCTCAGGTTTTCCCTATAATATATTTAACATATGTGTTAAAAAAATTCCCAATTTATTTTAAACCAAATACTATACTATTTACCTCAATCGCCCATTCTCTTACAAATTGTTTAATTGTGCTCCTTAATTTATCCATATCATATTCTGTTACTTGTTCTTTATCATCATTATCATTATTGGAACTACCCTTTTGAAAATTTCAAACTTTATTAGTTTGAAGCATATTATCGACCTTTTTACGAAAAAAAAGATCGCACATACTTTATATTCGTCACCAACAAATAATTTACCATCAGATAGTATCTGTTTTAGTACATGATAATTTTTTGAAATTGCATGGTCTACCTTATTTAACTTGGTTAAATAATCGGGTATTAAAGCCTTATGCCGCTCCGGCAAAGCATAATAATCCGTTCTACGACGATTATTAGAAGTTAAGGCATGTGACTTATATAAAGTAAAAGTATTCAAAACTTTTCGTAAATGCTAAATTAAGAACGAAAGTCGAAGAAAAGTAATTTAGACTAATGGAAATTATTAAAGAGGTTAAAGAAAATAAGACCTTTGCTTCCTCTTCAACAATTTCTTTATCGACACCTTCAGGATCATTAACAAACATTATTAAATGATTTTTCTTTTTATAAATAAATTAATAAATTAATAAAATTCTTTAGAAATGCTATACAAATATTTTATGCGTTATATCTTTGTTCCGCAGCAATTACAATAAATAAAATTTCTGAACACGTGAAAATAAATTTTTGTTAAGGTGATTTTTTTATGTTTTTTTATTTTTTTTGGATTTTTTGGTTGTCCTTTTGAGTGTTCGAAATTACTAAAATAAAATAGTATAAATATTATAAGAACTAAATACAAGAATTCAGATTTCTTCCCTGATCCCATCTAATTTCTTTATCAAAAAGAAATAAAACTAATACTANTTTTTTTTTTTTTTTTTTTTGTTGTTGTTCTTAGGATTTAACATATGAAACAATTTTTCTTATTTTTTTTTTATCTATATATAAACCATAATAAAATTTATGTGAAAAAATATAGTTTCAAATATGTGAAATATGATACAAAGAAAAAAATGAATAACGAAATAAGGAAGGCCCTCGAAAATAATTTCAGGCCAGATGTTTACCTATAAAGAAATGGTCTAATTCTTCGTTATTCTGGTGAATTTTGTGTGAATCAATTTTTCCTCCCTACCTTTCTTTTTTCCCTTTGAATATTTCTTCATGTAGAGATGAAAAAAATTAGAACATCAAATATATAGATAAAAGGTTTAAATATTTTTTTTTATTAACTTTACATTATACATTAAAGGGATTTTTAAAAAGAGATCACCATTCTAAGAGTTGACCTCCCTCGGGATTTTGCAAATTTTTTGACAAAAGTCACACTTATTGTTTATTTTTGATATTGGGGTTAAAAACATATTTTCAAACTTTAAATTTTTAGATTTGCCTTTTTATTTTTTGGTATTTACGCGATAATGTTTCATTACAATAAAGTACCGCGTCCAAAAAATAAAAAAGAATTTTTATATTATAAAGGGTTAAAGTAAAAAGTTTTACTAATTTTTTTGATTATTAATGGGTAAACAGGGAATTATAATTCTTAAAAAAAGCAAGACTAAACCGAACACCCATATATTCCCAAAAGAACTTCCAAGAAAGCAAAAGGACAAGGGAATATTATTTAAAAGGCAAAGGGGGTGGGCAATTTGTCCAGCAATTTGCTATAAAAAAAAAAATAATATAAAAAAAAATAATATAATACAATGTCATGCAAAAACACGACGGGGTTGTCATTAAAGAAAGTATTAAGTGAGAATAAAGAAAAGAGAAATAAAGAGAAATAAGTACTTTTGAATTTTTTGTCGTTATAAAAAGGATTTTTTAAGGGATTTTTTTTTGCGGGAATAATGATAAACTAATTACAAAGGTTAAGGTAACGAAACCTGTCGTTTCCCTTTTCTTTTAACATTAAAATTATGTATTATAGGGTCCAGTGCACCCCTCCTTGAAATACGCCAGCGTTCTAGACTTTTTAAAAAAAGTGAAGATCGAACGTTTTCATTGCTCATGTTTTTTGTCCCCGTTGTGAAATATTACAAGACAATATTCGAAAGATGATAATGGATATGATGAAAATATCAAAATGCTAAAAGGCGCACCAGTCGCCTCGACGAATATTGTCAGAAAAAAAAAATATTAACAAAAAAAAAATGAAATTATAAACCCAAGAAAATGTTTTTAGAAGAAAATAAATAAATAAATAAAGATCTCATATTAACGATAATAAAGTCCAGTCCTTTTTCCACCCATAGATAAAGAAAAGAATAAACTCAAATGGTTCCCTCACATAGATACACCAAAAAAAAAAAAATATATATATATAATATTACAAATACTTTTAAATAAGAACCCCAATAGAGAGAAGGAGGGAATAAGATCAAAAAAATAACATTAAACAATGATTCCGTTTCCGGCATTTCCCTCCAAATATGGTGGATATTGGAAAAGTGAGTAACTTGGATGTTCTGAAGTGGTGTAAACAGCAAGTCCATTAGGAACACAAGATGGTGTGATATTGGAACTATCATAATTATAGCAATCATTGACAACACCTTCATCGTAACCAAGATCAGAAGTGTTGGAACCGTCATCAGATGGTGGTGGAGAGTTACTCATTCCGCGTTCATGAGTTTTACGATGCTGTGCTAAATTATCGGATCTAGAGAACCTCTTGCCGCAGACTTGACATGAATAAGGACGTTCCATGGTATGAGTACGAACATGACGTTTCAAATGCTCGAGACGTTTGAATAGACGACCACATGTTGGAAGTGGGCATGTATAGGTTTTGAGAGGATAAGGAGTCGCATTAGAACGATGAGTTGTCGAGTTATTATTGTTGTTATTATTTACATTAACGTTATTGCAAGAATTTGCGCGTCTTCTCCTTTGTTTATAAGTTGGAGACCCCTCAAAGATTGAAAACATTCCAAAAAGATTAGCGGCAGTTGCAGCAGTGGTATTGGGATTGTTGTATGCTGTTGATGAAGGTACAATAGTTTGAGTCAATCCTGAAACATGAGCTTCTAAATGATCTGGTGATGGGTGACGACTATCTACATATGGTTCTTCCAAGGAAGATGTACTCCATGGAGATCCGGAAACAAAGTATTCTGGCGGGGTACTAGCTTCAAAAGGTCCTTTTTGGAGTTCATCCATAGAACAATAACCAAGATCGGGAGATGGGTACATTTGTGGTTTAACCATTGTGTTATCGGGAATTGATGGTTGAAATAAAGCAAAAGTGCCCAAAGAAGGCTGGGCTGATGTTGCATTTCCCATGGATTCCTGGTCAAGAGAATACAAAACACCGGATGGGTCATCTGTCTTTATTTGAGTACCAATCATGGAAGGAGCCATTGGTGGTATTGAAGAATCATAAACCAATCCACGTATTTGTGGAGAGGAAGGAGCAGATGAATTTGGAGACATTCCCTTTGTAAATTGGTCATATAATGATTGTGTGGAATCAAATGAGAAAGAAAGAGCAGGTTCAGCAATTGCAACAGTTGTAGGTTCAATACCCATCTTTTCACGTTTTAAATCCCGTTCTAATGCGTCTAAAAATAATCTATCATGAGGAACTGAAAACCAGTAAAAAACTTTTTGTTTCTTTTGAGTTCGAATACAGTTATTTTTATATAACATTTCAAGAAATTCAGACTTGGGTTCTTCGAGAGAAGCATCCATGCCAGGTTTTAAGTTCCTTAAGTCACTAAAAACACCTTCTTCAAATTTTTTGATATTCTTTACGGGTCTACCGAAAGCTTGGAAACGGAATACCAGACTCCTTACAATATCAGTGCCTGTTATGTGGTAAAGACTATTCCAGAGGACACAAGAAATATATTCACCGGTAGGAAGAAGATAACGACGGATATTTTGGTCAAGTTCCCAATTTACTGGAGCAGTAGCTAACCAGTATTTGAGTTCATCAACTTGTTCCATTGGGGTCTTCATTGTGCTTTCTACTGAATTCATTTTTATTGATATTTTCTAATTTAAATTAAAGGATGTCTTTTTACAAAAAAAACAAAATTAAAATTTTTTTTTTTTTTTTGACAACTGAACTGCAAGCAGTTTAGAAGGTAAGAATATTTTTTTTTTAGGAGAGTAAAGTTTTGGGAGAAAAGCCGATATAATTTGTATCAAACAAAAATATGGCTTTGAGATTAGAGGATTCAAGGCTGCACAGCTCCTTGGTGATCTTTTTGAGAAGGGGAAAACCTGAGAGAAATATTTTTTTTTTCCGCAGGCGGCAAAGAGGTTCTGTCTATTATTAAAATATTTAGCATCTACTTGGGTTAAAAAAATTTTCACAACGGGGGGAGGGGAGGGTTTAATAGGGCCAGGACAAAGTGGGGCTCTATAAAAAAGTACTTGAGGGTAACAAACGACTAAAAAGGAATGCTTGAAAAAATAGTTGATTGGAGATTGTTCTTGTCGGCTTGTCGGCCCAATTAATCAAGGTAGCACAAAAGTACCACATGTTATTAGCATCGTCTTTGAATAGACGGAACAAGTAATAGTATTGTAAACAAAATATAAATAATCTGTACTAAATTTATTAATGCATAAGTGTATATAAATATAGAATAATAGTTATCAAAGAACAACATATTTGAAACAATATTTTAACAATACAAATACCTTATATAAAATATTCTTTTTGTGAACCATTTATAAATATAGCTGAAGTCTCCTGCAGAATGCAACATCCAGTAAAGTCGCACTTACTGCGGTACAACTTGCTACAACATCTTTGTCTCCCCTTATTAACCATTCTAAAACGATTCAAATTTATGCAATGGATGCGATTGTCTCAACTGTTGTTTCTAATATTAATATTATTATCTGAAACAAGTTAATTAGCAATTGCATTAAGTAAGATCAACATTTTAATAAATCGGAATTACGCTTCCATTTCATTTTTGCAAAAAGGGGATAATAATTAAACAAGGAAAATTTAAAAAACTTTAGCCGTTAATTATTTATTAAAAATATCCTGAAATTTTCTTATTTTATCCCTGCCAATCATATTAGATTAGCAATAACTTTGCCTAGAGTTTATAAAGAATATACTAACAATGTTAATCTTTATATTCTTTATATACTAATTTCTATCCATTGTTTCTTTGTTAAAACTAAAACAAAACTAATACTAAAAATAAAATAATAATAAAAAAATATGATTTATAAATATAAAATTACTAATGTAAAATTATACCAGCAATAAAAAAAACCAAAATTGGCTAAATTTTAATTTCAAATAAATTAATTCAAAATTAACTTGATTTGCTAAAGTTATAGTTTATAATTTATTATTAAAAGAAACTTAAAAATTTTTCTAGAAAATAAAAGTGCTAAAATCTGCTTATAATCCAGAAGGTTTATTTAACCAAATAATAATTATATAATAATTATATATTAATTTAAAGAGTATTTTGCTAAAGCTTACCAGTAATACCAGTAATTGTTACTGTTAATTTATGCCAAATTAGAATTTAAATATATGATGACTGTTTATTTATATTGTTAACTTTAAAAGATCAAAAATTGTATTTTTTAAAAAAATTTATATGTAATAAGATTATTAAGAATTTTCAGAATTTTTTAATTAACCAAGTAATTTTTTTAGAAATTTTTGTATAATATAATAAATAATAAATTTAATTTAATTAATAAAATTTAAGTCACTTAATTATACATACAGATCAAACTTTTTAGACACAACTGATACAATATTAGAAGAAGAGATCACCTGGATATTATTCAAGAAAAATAAAATTATTTGCTTTCAACTTTAAAAATTATAAAAGAAAGAAGATATAACTAATATGGAGATGCAAAATATAAGTTTCACCTTAAAGAAAATGAAGATAATAATAACCATATGATATATTGTCAACAATTTAGAAATAAATGGATTACTATATATAAATGTAATCAAATATTTAAGAATTTTTATTATAATTCAATTAAATCAAAAAGATATACAACAACTACTTTCATGAAATAGAAATGTTTTTACTTATACAATTAATATTAATTATGACTTATATTTATTTAATGTTAAGAAGTTTCTTTTCAAAAGAAAAATTTAGGAAATTCAAAACTATTGTTATGTTAAAAAGAATAGCATTAACTATTGCAACCCTTTCTTAGAAGTTAGAAATATTTGTTAATAAATTTTACAATATTATTTGACAACCATGTTGTAATGCAATAGTAGAGTAGAAATATATTAAAGATATAAAAAAATAAGACTTAAGAAAAAGACTATTAATACATTAACACATTATATATAAATGAATTCTAACTTTATAGATAAAGAATGATATATATGATTTAAAAAAAAAAAAAATCTTAAAATATAATAATAATGGTCAATAATATTAAAAAAAATATAACAATATATATATAAACCAATTTATTAAAGAAGGAAATAGAATATTCTGAAAGGTACTATATAATATAAATATAATATAACCTTTTTTTTTATTTAGAGAGTAGTAAAAACATATATATATTAAAGCTATATAATATAATCCTATATAATTTAATAATTATTATAGAAAAATATAAGTAAATTTTATAGGATAATAATAGAATATCATCACTATGTTGGACCAACTGAAACCTTATGTTTATTGAATAGTAATATTTAATAAGTATTAAAATTTTATATTTATTAAGCAATAAATGCTTAATATATTAAATAAGTACTAAATTTTAATATTTATTAACCATTTAATTTTTTAAGCATTTTATTAGTATTTTAAGTAAATACTTAAATGCATTTTACCAACATACTACCTTATATTTAATAAGTGCTAATAATAAATATTAATAAATTACTTTGACTAACATCATGATGATAAGAGCAATTTTATAGATGAAAAACTGGTTTGAAGTTTTAATAAAAAAAAAAAAATTAATNAAAAAAAAAAAAAAAAAATTAATAAATTAAAATTTTGATTTATAATATATTAGTTATTAATTTTAAAAAGAATTTTTTTAATTATTACTAAGGTGATAATCACTGATAACTAAAATTATGATATAGTACTGGTAAAAATTAATAATTCTAGCCAATGGTAATGATCACCTCTAATGATTTAAAATAAAAAACTTTTAAAAATATATAATATATTATAATATATATAAATATTTATTTAATACTAAGAAAATTTTAAATAAAATTTGATTTAATAATTCAATTTGAATAAAATAAAAAAAAATGAAATCTATTTATTAAAAAGAATTATTTTTAAAATTTAGTTTATTTTAATTAATTAAATTATATAAATATCATACACAGGTCGAAAAGTGAAAAATCAGGCATCAATTAGTCACCAATCGGCATTTTTGCCAAATATCGTCACCAATCAGGCAGTTTGCTAACTTTTGACCCAATAATCAGAAAAAGATGAAATATAGCTCATTGGAATCGTCTCAACAAAACGAATCCAATGGTAGTAAAATCGCATTTCTAGAATTAATACTTGATGAGAAATTAAGTAAATATAAAAATAAAAATATATCATTTATATTTTATTTAATTTTTTATTATTAACTATTAATCCTAGAAATGCGATTTTACTACCATTGGATTTATCTTGTTGAGACGATTCCAATGAGCTATATTTCATTCTTTTCTGATCACTGGGTCAAAAGTTAGCAAACTGCCTGATTGGTGACTGATTAATGCCTGATTTTTCACTTTTCGACCTGTGATATAATGAGAACTTTTTCTTGTAGATCTCATTTCCAAAATTTTACACAGAAAGCAGATGTAGTTTTTCAATGAAAGTACTTAGGAAAAGTTAACACAAGCAAGAAATAAAAACTATTTTTAAAGAGTTCAATACTTTAACTTCACAACTATGTCAGTATTAAATGTAATCATAAATTTTTTATCAAAAAAAAGTAAAAGTTCTTCTATATAAATCAGTAACGTTAGATATTTTACAAGAAAACTTTGGTGCTATACTGAAAACTCTTTTACAGGACCAATACCAAACTTCAATCTCTGCTAATTCCAGTACTAGTGAAAATAACAAAATAAACATTTTTGCTAATATTTTGTCATTCTTTAAAGATTTTTCTATTGGTGCTGCTGCTACAGCCTTTCAACGTGTTTACCCAAAAATTGCTGAAACTTTTCAGCAGGAACAGGATTAATAAAGCAGACTAATAGATAAAAAGAATGACATGAGTTTTACACTGGATCATGATGATACAAATTCAGCTGATGATGACTTAGACTCACTAGATATAGTAATTTCTGATAACACATCACACCAATCACAACAAGTACAACCTCTCATAACGGTAATAATTACACCATTTCAAACGCTTCTAGATGAAAATATAAGAAGAATAAAAAGCTTAAACAGAAAGCTGAGACAGCTGATTTTTTTATCAATAAAGCCTCTCTGAATCATAAAAAGTTTTTCTTATAAAGTAATCTTACTTGAAGACTTAAAAGCGAGCAGATCTGTTTCTAAATTAAAACCAATACCTGTAATAAGAGAGAAAAAGACTAAAAATGTCAAAGATACAGAAAAAGAAGTGATGTACTATATAATAATAGAATATCAACTAACAGGATTGGCTTTAGCCAATATCAATGATATCATAATATATGATGTTTCTTTGACCTGAAAAAATGTTGATTTGCTACGTCACCTGGAAGCCTAGGGTAAAGTTATCTCTATCAAGATTATTCGGCAAAAGAAATACAGTACAGTCAACTCCCTCTATAGTCACTCCCGTTATAGTCACATTCTACTATATAGTCACACCAGTTGAATGTTCAAAACACTTTATTATTAAAATCTATCCTATATAGTCACAAACTATCTATAGTCACTATCACACCTATCCTCAAAAATCTTATATTAAAAAGAACCGTTTATAATCACAGTTATATAAAGAATATATTAAATAACTTG